GGCTGTGGCTCTCAACAACTGAGGATATGGCTCAGGGGTTCAATCCCTGATACAAATAAGAACAACAAAAAGGAAGGGAAAATTTTTGTACTAATACTGCTATGCTCATTTTATTTTTTTCACTTTTTTTTATCTGTTCCTTTTAGATCTACATGACAATAGAGTGTATTTTGACCTATTATACATAATCAAGCTCCCACTCCTGTAATTGTACACTATGTGGACTTTCACGTGTATTCATGTATGGACACAGGCAATCCATGTCTGATACTATACTTACTTCAAATTCTTATGGTCTGGGAATTCATTTGGAAGGGTTGTTTAGTATATTCTGTTTTCCTCTCAAATGAGGATAAATCATCTGTCAATGGCAACGATCTATTCATCTCTTGGGCAATTAGTGGAGATGTGGTGTTGGTCATTGTTTTAAGTCAGATATTCTTTATCATGTCCAAGAGACAGTATTCTGGTTTATATTATTTTAAAAATTTTGTTCTAATTAGTTACACATGACACTAGAATGCATCTTGACATATCATACATAAAGGGAGTATAACTTATCATTCKTCTGGTTGTGCATGATGTAGAGTCACACAGTCATGTAGTCATATATGCACATAGGGTCATAATGTCTGATTCATCCTACTGTCCTTCCTACCCCTATTCCCTCTCCCTACTTCACTCCCCTCTGACTAGTCCAAAATACCTCTATTTGGTTTTTTAAGAGTTTGTCTTTTTTAATTATGATTTGATGTAAGCTTTTAACATATACTTTCTAAAACAAATAAAATGTGTGTATTTCAGACTAATGCCATTTATAAGTACTGTTGGTACTGATAGCTTGCCCTGAGATTCTTCTAACTCTTTAATTTACCAGTAAATAGATGTCTTGAATTCTCTTGTGGTAAGGGGCCAAGGCTCTTGGTCTGCAATTTTCCTTTAAGCCTAATTGAAATTTGATAGTTCTCACATTCAATTCTTAAAAGCAATGCAAATAAAAAATTACTCCAACCCCAATAACCCCAGTCTAGTCTAATTCRTTTAACAATCTACACAGATACCTGCTTGTCTGGCGTGGGTCAAAGCCCCTCATCTTTCTGCTTCTCCCTGCTGTTTTCTGGGAATGCTGTACAGGCTCACTGTGTACCCTTTCACCTCACCCTTTGCTATGGCTCCCATGCTCTGATGAATTAATACTTTTATGCTCTTGTTTTCTTATCTGGGATATAGTATGTATCTGCATATAATTGATATCAAGTTCACCTTGGATTTCTGATCACCTTTGAATGAGATGAACCCTGGACTAATTATCTCTAGGAGGTACAAGTCAGGGCACGGGCAGGGTTGTTCCCGGGATGGCAAGAATTCCTGGGACTGAACCTTGTATATTGAATGTTCTCTTAGATGTGACTTCTCCCTGGGAAATTTCATCCACTGGTCCTTGGGAATTATTAATTTTGCTTCTCAGGACGTGCTCCTTCCTTCTAAGGATGGTGATTTTCTTATAAGTCAAGGTGCAGTCAGGAAAATTAAACCCCAACAGTAATTTTACTCAATCAAAATTAATGTAAGAAATTATTRAACAGTTGTTGTGGAGTAGAAAGTGCAAAAGAGTCCACAGAATTAACACGGAGTTAATAGGAGGAGGCTGCCACTCCTGGTACGGGAGAAATAAAGGCGGTGGGTGGGGGGCATTTGAGATCACCAGAACCTGGCAGCTTGGTGGGGGTCAGGAGGAACCATGACCTGTGAGGAGGGATGTCAACCAGTGGTTGCTGGTATTCCAGAAGGGCTAAGATCAGGCTGCTGCTCTTGGGATGTAGGACAAACTGGAAACAAGAACTAACTCTTCCTGGAACCCCTTGCTGCTGGTGGAAGGAACTGCCTGCCACCTTGAACCGGTCCACTTCTCCCTGTAGCACCCTCTGTTGGCAGGCTCCAGCAGGAATGGTGTGATTTCAGAGTCCCCATGGCCAAAGAGAGAGTTTCAGGCTGAGGGAGGGTAGCTTCAGGGCAGGGGAGCTCAGCCCAGATCCCGAGAGACCTGCTGCTGGGGCATCCCTCTAGTGCAATAATTCAGCTTGTCCTTCCCACTGTTGCAACCCTGCTCTCTGTGCTGTGTTCAGGTTACAGATGTCCTCTAGGCTCACTGAAAATGGGTTTGCTTCTGTGTCTTATTCTCTTAATGATCGAGGGTGATTTTTGAGGAGGAAAGGGCCACCCTTGCCCTTTTTGCCACCACTTTTACATCAGAGTTMTAGGTGCGCTATTGGTTTTGTAATTTCCTTTAACACTTTCTTATCGCTCCCAGCTTTCTGTTCATTTTGACACAGCATTTTATTTCATTTTTTYYT